AGCGACCAGTTTTAATCTGTTCTGAAGATGCTTCTTCCTAGCTGCATTTGATGCTCCTGTGCTTTTGTTTTGGAAAAGGTGATAAGCAGAGTTAGGGCTGGGTAATTTTGATTAAGTGGACAGTTTACTACTTTGTGATACTGGCAATGTTTTTCGTTATCATAGCTACTACTTAAAGGGAATCTTTAAGAAATTGCTGTCATAAGAACTTGAATTTCAGTAGATAATGACAGCAAAACCAATTTCTAACTGTTCTTTGACATATAAAACAATTGAAGCTTTACTAGTAGCTATTTTTTAAAGTTTTTTTTCTTAAATACATATATACATTGAGTTGATTACTTTAAATATTTTTAGTTATACCAGATGTGTTTATTATTTATATTTATCATCCAGAATTTCTGTATGTATAACCTGCTTAAATAGGGGGTTATTTTAAGGTTTTGTTGTTGTGTATTGACTATAGTTTTTAGTTACATTGTGTCTATGTGATCTTTGTTCGATGTGGCTTCTGAGTTATAGTGAAATGCAAAGAAATAGAAAAATAAGAACCAGCATCGCAGATGAAAGCACTTAAGATACTATGTATGCCATGAACCCCAAACCTGAGAAGCCACAAGCCGTGTTACTAGGACTGTGTGGGAAATGCTGGCACAGAGGCCATCTCTTGGCCTTCTAGAAAGAGCAAGGTAGAGCACCCAAAGCGAATACAGCAATATGCATACAGATATGCATACAGCAAATGTATGAGAGCCAATACAGCACTGTACATACAAATACTCATACAGCAAATGTATAAGGGTGAGTTCGTTCCTGGTTTCCCTTCCCAATCTGAGCACTGTTTCATGGTTTTTATCAAAGCACTTCAGGCCAGGGCTGTGCTACTGTTGTGCAACAGGGTGGGTCCTTCCTCTTCCAGGGAGCGAAGAGCGGCGGCTCAGTCATTTTCCATGGAAGGCAATTCACTGGAGAGGGCTGGAGAGGAGGTGGAGCCCTGGCTCTCGCCATCCCCGGCACGGCCAGCGCCGCTGCGCTTTCAGCTGTGATTATGTGTCACACTTTACTCTAAACCTCTGTAAAACGGGGATGAAGCTACTAATCTACTTCATCTGGGGTTTGTGGAGCTTAATTAATATCTGCGCGTACTTTCACATGACAGGCGCTCTGTAAGCGCTAAAATCTTATTTATTCTAATTATATGTCTTGATTCCTAGGGTGCTTTATTCATTTGGGCTTTTGGACCACAAATTATTTTGGGCAAAATACTGCAACTGTTCAGCACAAATGATGTGCTTTACAGCTCTGAGCACCCTTATGTCCCTAAACGTAAGTAGTGATGAAAACATTATAGCGGTGGGAGTGGGATTTAGGAGGCAGATCCGTGAACTATTTCCTCCTGTCGCAAGGATTTGTTTTCATTAGAGGAGCGTGCCTCGCCTGCATGTTGTGCCTTGCCCTCCATTGTATTGATAAATCGTTACAGCGCTGCTGTGAAGGACGCAGTAAACAGAAGCAAATGTGAATCCGAGGACTTTGTAGCACAGCCCTCTTCTCTTCCTGGGGATAAGATATGACAACGCCTGCAAAAAATAGCTTTTTGCAGGGGGGAGGGAGAGTGCTTCCTTTCTCTGACAGTGAACGTATCCTTCTGCTCTGCAAATTCACTGCAAGCAGAATGCCTTTGTACCAGTGTAGTTCTGCAGTTTCCCCTGGTGAGAAGGGGGTGGGATTTTTAAAAGAGAGATGACAGACCTAAAGGTAGAAAATGCATTAGAGTAGACAGTCATTACCAGCCTTTCCAAAAATGGAACAACTTTGTTCAAAGTGGCTTTTTTTTTTTTTTTCCCCCTCTTAATTAAGTAAGCAATAGTGACAGTCAACAGGAGATTCTAGCAAGCCAAAGGAAGACCAGTGACGTAGTCTGTGATGCAGCTTGGAGAGTTACAGACTCTGGGACTCTCTTAGGTCTACCTAATATGGAGTGTACAAGAAAAGACTGGAAGGGTGAATTTGCTAAGTCCTAGTCTCCAGCAGGATATTTTTGGACTACTCTGATGGTACAAAACATTTAAACGGTTTAGCCCACCCCATAAGTTTTCCCTTAATGTGAGGAAATCCCTAGATGCTGTTAACAATTTTTCTCACAATTTTTGTCTGTTCAGTGCACTGCATTTCTCCAGTACATTAGGAGAACGGGCAAGCGGTGAGATACAGATGTGTAAGAGAGAAGGGGGAAAGAATGGGAAGAGACATAGAAGAAACAGCAAAAAGCACAGACTGCTGCTTACTTTAAAATACCAAGGTAAAGCATTGATCACTCAGAGGCAGTTAAAATCACTTCTTTTCCTGTTAGCTGTTTAACAGGTTGTTTCTTCCATTTCCATCCCTCTCTGCCTTGCAGATTTCTGCAGGAGATGAGCCCATCCTTGATTTGCTCCAGAAGGCTCTTTCAATGCTATTTATTTGCTATTTTATCCAAGAAAGGTATAATTCTCTGCAAAGAATCTGAAAGTGCGCTTAGGTCAGAAGCTTGTTCCAGTGGTGTTGAAGGAGTGTCTGAAAACAACAGAACATTCCAGAACCAAGAAATTGGGAGGAACTCAGCACATTGGGAAATTTGACTCCAGAGGCAGGAAGTGAATGCAGGTTTCCTGTTTGTTCTTAGTGGCATCTAAACTTGAGCATTTTTTATGTGTTGAAAACACTCCTTTTGCGCCTTTCCTCGCATGCTTCTCCATGCTTCTGTAAAGTCTATCAATAGGCTGTTGTTTGATATTGCTAATGTGACTTCTGCCTATGTTTTTGCGAAAGTGCTCAAGAGAGAGAAACCCCAGCTGAAAAAAGAGCAGGGGAAAAAAAAACAACCAAAACCCACCTGTGATGGGCAGAGATGGGCAACAGAGAGCTTAATTTGTTAGGGTAGCAAAACAAAAACTGGGAAGGGATACATTTGCTCTCTGCAGGTATGTGTGGAAGGAGAGAAAAGCTGAATCAACTAAAGGCTGCAGCTTTATCTGCTATGAATTGGCACTGGAGATTGAAGAGGGGTCCCAGCCATCAGCACAGGGAGGTTCTGGAGCAGCCTTCTAGGAGGAGGTTTGGGAAGAACAATCTGACCCTTCTTACACTATAGCTGGAACAATTTACGAGGAAGGGAGGGGGCAGCCTCAAAGGCCCCTGTAAATAGGACTTAAGTGGACCCAAAGCAGCACGTGCCCATTCTGGCGTGCAGGTTGCTCTGCCCAGACCAACAGTGACTGAATTCATACTGTCCTCACAGTATGAATTTAGCTGGACCCAGAGTGTCCAGCTAAAAATGTCTTGCAGGCCTACCTGCAGTCCTGCCTTCCTGTTTCCTTTTTCTTTTGAAGAACTTCTATTCCCAGAAGCATTTTGTAATTATTTTGAGTTTTATTATATTTTAAATTAGATGTGGAGTTTGAACATTAATAGGGCTTGCCTGGAACACAGCCCTTACCTCCATTTTTTATATATATTTTTAATGAGTTGTCAAGTGGCTTGTGTGTATCATGGAGTGAAATGATGGATGTAGCTGGACCCAGGAGAGTTGCATTGAAATTCTCTTAAAAATAAGCAGCATTGTGGCAGCTCAGCTCTATTGACAATAACGTCAAGTCAGATTTAATAGCGTAGTTCCTTATTGAATGAATCCACCCTGTAGGAAACAGTATGACCTTCCTGTGAGTGCGCAAGACGAAAAATCAATGTTAATCTCTTGGGAGGAAAAATATAAGATTAACGGAACAGTTGAGTGAGTCTAATGAGAATCAGATGGCAAGAATGTTAATTTGGAAAGAGATACTCGTATAAGCTGTCTGAAGGTATAACATGGTAGTTTCCATATATCATCAAATGTCATGTATTCTCCTTAGATACATATCTGCAAGATGTAATTTAATGGATTTGCAGCTCTTCTGTATGGCTTCCTGACAGAACAACAGGGGATTTTCAAGCTAATCACCTTTTAGTGGGAGATTTATGACCAGTGTAGTTAGCCAAGCCTTTCCTCCGTCAGGAAGGGCATGGACTGGAGACAGTTGTTGGGTGCAGCATACCAACTCAGAGCTGCTTAATCAGAAACAGGCTGGAGCATCTCTGTCTTGTGGTTGCTCTCTGGAGTCATGCAGTTCACTGACATTGTCGAATATAATGTTCGCTTCAATCAGTCCTCATTACTAATAGTTTTGGGAGTTGGGTGGGTAGTAATTTTTCCATTGTGCTTTACTTAGTAGCCATCGGCTTCTTAAGAAATAAACAAAACAATGGGCTTTTATACTTTCTTTTTACGTCTGAAAGTCTGAGGTGGCAATTCCATTTTAAGTCCTTTTAAGTTGTAGGTGAACATTCATGTTGCCTTGTTCTCAGCCTTTAGCTTAGGTAGATGGATTGGTCACTCTCCACCTGTTGCCCAGAGAGAAGGACTTCTCCAAGGTTGGTGCAGAGCCTTGTTAGGCTCTGCTCTGTGTTGCCTTGTGGAAGAATCTACCTCTTTTCTTCCCCTGAAGATACAGGGAGACTGTACAATTAAAGTGGGTGCCTCTGTATAGACCACATACCTCTTTAAAATAGTTACATGAGGCAGTTGAGTATCTGGTGCATGGCCTACGGCAGGAAATGAGGTGAAATTACATTGACTTGTTCCAGAGAAATTGCTGCATTGATGTTTTCATATTTAGACCAGTTCTTTTATTGTGTTCACCTGTTCAGTATTCATTTTAATACAAAGAGTAGGCTCATAAAAACATGGAGTTTACAGTTGCATCACTTTCTGGGCTGTATCTGCTTTCCAAGATGGTCACCAGCATAAGAGACTGCAAATAAAAATCAACTGGAACACACATGGCAGCATCTCAGTACTGCCAAGCTGTAGAGTGGAGATTATTTGTTTATGCTGCTATTTGCCAGCATTGACTAAACAAAGATAAGGACGTAAATGCTTCCCAAGCAGAGCTTCCCAAACAGGATTACAGGGGGTAGCAGAGCTTCCCAAACAGGATTACAGGGGTGATAGGAGCTAGCACTTAGCATTACAATAATAGATGCCAACGAGGGAGAGATGTCACTGCCCACTGGCTCCTCTTACATCCTAAGAGCGAAGCAATGAAAGAAGAGGCAGGTCTGTGAGGTTTGCTGCTTTATGCAGGAATATTAATCTTTTAGGATTTGATTCATTAGGTTTTTACTCTGTGAGCTTTGCTTTGATTCTCCCAAAATCCAAATTTGTTGTTAATGTGACTCTGAAGGAGGGCCTTACTTTGTGAGCCTTAGTAAGTATTACAACAAACCAGGCAAGATCAATATAAGCTCTGAATTGAGTGGGGAAGAGGCCTCCAAAGTCAGCTAATTTTGAATGTCAACATGCATGGTACAAGGCTAATTGAGATACACAGAAACTGCCATGTGCCTTTTTAATTGCGTTTAGACAAGATGTACAGTATTTGAGTCAGCTCGGCAGCGTTCCAGCTGATGAAAGTGTTGATGATACCTGACACCAGTGATGATATATTAAGTGTGCTTAATATCTTAGCGCACATGTCATGAGGCGAATTAGAATCATAGAGAATTTCGGTGAGAAAGGACCTTTCCTCTAGAGGTCATCTGGTCCCACCTCCTGCTCCCAGCAGGGCCCACTTCAAATACAGAGCAGGTTGCTCAGGGCCGTGTCTAGCTGAGCTTTGAGGATTTCCAAGAATGGATATTCTGTCACCTCTCTGGGCCTGTGTTCTGATGCTGCACCACTCCTTGTGAAGAATTTTTTCTTAATAGCTAATCAACCAGAATTTTCCTTGCTGCACCTCAATCTATTGCCACTGAGCACCTCTGAGAAAAGTTTAGTCCTGTCTTTTTTCCTTAGCCTGGCAAGGGCAAGGTTGAATAAATGCTCCTCTCTCAGACCCTTCATAATAGCATAGTCCCCTCAGCCATCTCAGTGGCACTCCACCTGCCCTTCTCCAGTTTGTCATCACCTCTTGGGTACTTACTTCACTCTGCTGTGATGCATTACCTAATGCAGTGCAGGATGCCATTAGCCTTCAGCAGTGCACGGGCAGCCACGCTGACTCCTGCTCAGATGTTGCTCACCAGCATCCTGACGTCCTTTTCTGCTGACCAGCTTCTCTCCAGTCGGCATCCAGCCTATACACAGTTCCATGTGGTTATTCCATCCCAGGTGCAGGATGTCACTGTTCAGCAAGGACAATTCCTCTTGAAGCTCCAGCGAGACTGGGGCACTGAAGTGACAAGCAAGACCTGCGTTGTTAAGGGTCAGAGGGACATCACACAGTGATCACTTACAGCAAGTAAGACTTGTACACTCAGAATAAGTAAAAGATTTAAGTTTGGTCAGTGCTTAAATAAAATACAGAGCTGCTATCTCTGAGTTATGCTGAGATTTTGGTATCAGCTCTGAATTCTTCAGTAACCCACAGTGCCCTTTGTACAGAAAGCCACGTAGTGTTCAGTATTTTTTTCCACATTGTAGAACGGTATTGCCCAAGGCAACAGGAACAAAAGCAGAGAAATGTGATAAAGTTAGGCCTGTTGGGAAATCACTAGTCATTGGAAAGCTGTTGGAGTAAGGCACCTTTGGTAGGAGGGACCTCGGTGTGACCTTGTGATTTTGTGTTTTCAGTGTTTGTTTGTAAACAGGCAAGCTGCTGGAATGGTTCTGGTGTCCTCTGTGGCCTACAGCAGGGAAGTAAATGTGTGTCTATGTGTGTACCCACATCCCTTTGTCTCGTACCTCGGAGCTACAAGAAATGTAGTGTCAGCTGATTTAACAGGCTCAACTTTGGTTATGAAACCTCAGATAGAAGGAGCATCTCCTGCATCCCTTGAGCAATCTCTTCTGGTTGGGGTCTGGTGCTTTGGAAAGGGGACAGGTGCCCAGAGCCATTTGGTAGGTGGGCTGTGCCCCATGGTAGAGTGGAGCAAGAAAATGAAGAGCCAAATTCTCAAGAGGAGCCTTCCCTTGCAGAAATAGCAACTGCAGGAGGAGTCTAATTTGTTGGAAGAGTGAAGCCTTGTTTTAAGCAGTTAGTGATCCTGAAGCGAGTAGAGCAGGAAGCTGAGTGAGGGCAATGCTGGATACCTGAAACAGAGAGCCCTTGGGAAACCACTACCCATGCTTTGGCTCTCATATGTCTGGGGCTGTTAACCCTGGGGTCATGGAAACTGCTACTGCATTTATTAGCACGGCAAACGCCGCTGCTCTTCAGTGCTAAACTTACCCTTGTGGTCTCTGTCTCTCCTTCTCCACAACCTGTCAGGCCAATCTGTGTCTTGCAGACCGCAACACCTGCATTGAACATGACATGAACCACCGTTATAGAGGCAGCCTATGGCTGAAATATAGCACTTGTTCAGCACATTTGCACATGACATACCAACCTGGCCAAACCTAATTGGTAGCGAAGGATGAACTATGAATTGCTTTTAAAATAAATTCTCAAGCAGCTCTGAGATTGTGGTTATATTTTTAAACAAGGAGAAAGGTTAGCTTCATCCTTCTGTAAATATTCCCCAGGGCGGTGTTCTCCAAAGCAGCTAATGCCAAGCAAGTTTGGCACTTCTATGGGATTGTATAGTTTTTAATAAGAGGGCAATATTATTCCCTTGCATCTAAGCAAAATATCTAGAATTTCTGGACTTCTAGTTATAGTAATTTTTGTGCTAGATTGGCAGGCAGTGGTGTTTTCTCTTTGAGGCTGTCACTTGCAGCTCGGCAGAGTGCAGGAGTGACTAATACTGACAAATGAAGCTAGGTCAAATTAAACAAATGCCACAGTAAAGCATTTCTAAAGTCACATATGATCCCGTACTGCATTGTGAGGCTCAAAGCTTGGTGTTGTAGGAGAGTGTGTAGACTTGTTAACATGCAGCCAGACCCACAGCTTTTAAATTTTTTCTAAACTGAGGTTATGTACATAAGGATAGTTCAGGACAGGCTTCTGCAGGTACAAGCAGATATAAGTTGTCCTTGTGGCTTCAGTGAGAGTAAGAGATTCTGCACAGATTTCATGCACATTAAGAGCAAAATTGCCTGCAGTATCTTCGGCACCGGTTTCATGGACCATTTGGTATCCTGTTTGCCTGAAAAGTGTCTTGCCTTGAGAGCAAGAAAAGTAAATAAATATAGAGAGAGACTGATAAAACCCACAAGCCCTGGAGATTTCTAGGCTTCAGGAGCAGAAGGCCCTCACTTTAGAATTCCTTCTTGTTATTCCTGGAATACCACAAATAGGTCAAACAAGCAACCTTGAAAGCTCAGAACTGCTTTTCACCAATAGTAGATGATTGTGCAAGTATTTGAGATAAGTGTTAATTTCACATTTCTGCAGCTTAAATTACTTTTCTTTGAATATCACCATAGTCACCAGTGGTTACAAGACTTTCTCAGCTCAGAGATTTTGCATTCTCTGAGAAATTCTTTCTTATAGATTATTTGCTGGCTGACACAGCAAATGAGACAGACTGGAAGCATATACCATTTTTAACTAATCTCTTACTTTGAATAGTGAATGAAGAACAATCAAAGGAAATGGTTTGAAAGTAACCCATTGTTTCAAAGCAGCTTTCCCAAACCAGCAAATATAAAATAGCAGCATCGAAAATAGCAGCATCACAAAGTAAAAATGGCGTATATTTGAGATCCTTGAGCCAAAAGGCAGCCTGTTTTTTATAAACTTATTTTTAGCTTGGTCAGCTGTACTAAGTGATTTTATCAATGTAGCTAGTCTATGGAATAAGAATGTTCACATAATGTAGTGTCAATGCAGGCAGCTATGACAAGTTATGACATATACATGTAGCGCAAATCCTTTCAAATCAAATTCATACCACTGAAATTCTGTAAATGGATTAAATCTTGATAGTCTTGCACTACTCACTTTCACTCACAAGCTGGCATCAACCAGGGACAGAAGAGCAGCCTTGTTGGAAGCGGAGGCCTGCTGTTTTTGCATACTTTGACTGGACGACGTGCAAACTTTTTCCATCTCACAGGTCATAGAGCCTGTCACAGTTTGAGAAGAACCAGAGGGACTGCTTCTCTGCATCTCCTAGTAGAAGAGAGCTCCCTTTAGAAGAGACTTCCCTTGCTTAGGTACCACAGAACCAATTTTGAAAGGTGAAACCTTTCAAATTAAAAGGAATTATGATGGCTTTTAGTTATCTATGGCAGCATATCTCAGTGCTTGGGGCAAGGAAGAAAAACCTATACTATGTCTTTAACACTGCCTAGGCTTGAGATGCTAGTTAGGATTTGTTGTTCTCAAGGAAGGGGGTTAGGGAAGCAGCTGTGTAGGTGTGGGTTCGGTGGCTATCACTGGTATCTGTAGCTTTGACAAGCCTAAGTAATGGTGCTTGAATGTTACTGTCCCTCAGTTACTGCATGCAACACAAGCAAGAACCAGATGCTTCCACAGCTCCTCCAGGATGTTGGGAAATCAGCACTTCCAGAGGTAAACCAGGGAAGAGATAAAAGTAACTATCCCAAACAAAGTCACTGTGCTTTCAGTAATCCCCGTCCATAGGAAAGGAGGCAAAGATGGCCTTGAAAGATACAGTACATCTTAAGTGCTTCTGCTAATGCTCTTTCAGCACAAGTAACCAACTAACAGCAGTTGTGGTCGGCAGCCCTGGCCTCACCACAAAGGTTAACGAGGACAAAGTGTTTGATAAGCAACAAGTCTAACACCTTAAAGAGGCTGAGGGAGGACCATGGGAGGATTTTTTTGGATTTTGCTGTCCAAAAGCTTGAGGGTGGTTTCAACACCCAGCCGCCATGCAGACAAGAGCAAACAACTTTAGTTACTTTAGTTTTACTGCAGTAAAGCAGGTGGGCAGTGCACAGCAGGCATTAATTTAATTTAAAAATGAAAGAGAGGTTTGTTTTTTTTTTAAAATGGAATTAAACTTTGCAGCAGGTACAAACTGAACATGACCTGCTGTGGCTTCTTTCCTGTGCATTGCGATACACTGCATTGTGGGGCTGTGTGTCAGCAACAGAGCATGGGTTTGTATTCAACATTATCCCTGTTATCCTTCATCCCACCAGCACCCCTAAATCAACACTTGCATCGTGTTTGGCGCAAGCATCTTATGTTAGTTCTGTTTGGACTTGTTCTGCCTTGCAAGTGATGTTGTGAATGATTTTGCCCACCTTTAAAAAAACAAACCCTGAAGTATACCTTTGCAGAGTGTTTTTCAGCCTGAGCAAAGCTGGTGCCTAAGCACAAGTGAAGAATAAGAAGAAAGCCTATTTTCAGACTTTTCCAAGTGCAGCAGGGTCACATAAATGTCTCCTTAAGAAACTCCTGCAGCTGTCCATCAGAGCTAGCCAGCGGCAAAGGCTGGAAGTAGAATGGGGGCTGGGGGAGGGAATTTGTTCTCCTACTGGACCAGATCCTCTGAATAATAAAGCCAAGTGGGTAAAAGCAAAAGACGTGTTAACTGAAGCGAGCTGAACTGTTCCTTCATCAGTGCCTGAGGCGCTCTCGGTTTATCCTGTGTTTAATTCTGTCATTTTGGGCCCCAGTCCTGCACTGATGGTAGGGTAGGTGACTTTCTCTACTCGAGCCTTGGTCTCGAGACTAAAACCCAAACCTTAACATCATGAAAAACAACCTAGCTACTCTGAATTTTGTTTAAACCAAGCCTGAACAAAGGTGTTATTATTTAACTTGAAGCTCCAATTTAAAAAATAACAAAAATCCAGTATTGCATGTGATAAGCTCTAGATCCTAGTTATGCTATACCCTAAAAACCACAAAATTGAGATGATGTAGAAAATCCTCAGCCAGCCTTACCCCATTAAATCTACTGAAGTTTTGCCAGCATGTCCTCACCAGAGCTGTAGCCAGGGATTTAAGAGATTCCATGTTTGTTCAAAATTGTCTCCAGACTACCTGAAACTAGAGGCCCAGGATCTCTGCAGAGCCATTGGGCATTGTTTTTATTTGTTTTCATCTGTGCATGAATTTCTTTGAAAATACCCAGCAGAGCAATAAGAAGGGATTGTTTTTAATCTTTAGAGATGATAGCATGCTGTTATGCATCAAGGACACTCACAAACAAAGCATCAGTTAAACTGTACCAGGAGATTTATCTTTTTTTTACCTCCGGGCTTTTCCGAAAATAAAACACATTCTGCATGGAGCTTGCTGTTGGTGAGACATCTATAGATGTCTATATAAGATGTCTATAGACATCTTGGTTTGTCATCCCAGAAGCATTAGCATCACCGTGTTCAGACAATTTACGTGTGTGTATGTGAAAATGCAGCTGGATTCTGTCTGTGCTCAGCACCCCGAGGGAGGACGGTCATTATTGCGACAGGGACAGCTGGGGACTGGCCTGGAGCCAAGACCTTGCTTAATGCAATCAGAAGATTTTGGTGATACAGAGTGGATTTTACATCCCCTGTTCTGGGAGAGGGCAGCTGAAGTTGGAGTTTTACGCCTTACTGCTGCCGAATTAAAAACTAGCCTGTGCATCTTTTGTGTTACGCAGGACAGCACAGCGGACAAAAAAGCGCCTTCTGCCATCCAGGTTTCAAATCATATTAACAACATCTATCTATGTAGCTGCAAATCTATCATTTCTCTTGTTTAGATCTCTTCAGCAGTATCTTTCCCTGCCTGAATGAACGAGGTTATAAAACACGGTAATTATAAATCTCATTGACTGCCTTGCATTCAAGGGCGTGTTCCCCTCGAGCGTTGCTGTGAAGCGTGTTACCCAGGAGACTGTCCTGTATAATCCAAAACAGAATTATTCTGACCCAGCGAGCTTGTTGGAGGGGAGAACATTTGGGATGCTGACCTGCTGCCACGGCACAGTAAATGCATTTTTCTCATTTCACAGCAGGGCAATGCTGCAGTACAACAAGGCCAATGCATGCAAGTATTCTTTTGGGGCATGACTTACATCTGACTGACAAGTGCTGGCTCCCTAAAGATGCAGAAAAGGAGCCTCAGACAGTAATCACAAACCAGAAGTCCTGCTGACTGTCCGCACAATTTCAGCAGCTTTCTCTGAAGGTTTGGTTGTCTTAGACCTTTCCAGGCAAAAACATAAATACCTCAGACAATCTAACACAGTATCAATAAAACCTTCTCTTAAAATGTTCAAGCCAGGCTGCGCTCGTAAGACAGGCTAAAAAGCATTTAATAAGTGACAGCTGGCTGTTCTGCCTTGCACTACTAACCATAGCGTGGTTCAATACCATCCTTTCCCCATCGATCTGATCATAGTCAGGATCTGTGCGGGTACTTTCCTCAGTCCTGAGGGGTTTATTATCAGTATCAATCATGCTGCCTCACAGTTGAGAAACTACATAAAGCCTTGTCAATACCCCACCCTCGCAAAAGAACTGTAAAACCTGAACAGTCTTGTGCTCTGGGGAAGAAAAAAAAAAAAAAGGAAGAGAAAAGAAAGCACTTGCAAGAACAGCAGCAAAGAGAAAACACGACTGTTGCCATCCATTTTCTCAATTACTGTCAGTGCACAAGAGGAGCAGAGCACTATGTGGTAGCCCAGGCGGTCGCATCCTCTTTGTGCTCAAGTAGGAGAGGGAGATGAGGTGCAGAGCAGTCACTCCCAGCAGGTGTGCAAACCAATTGAGTCTAATTAGAAACATCCTGCTGAAAATGTAAACGTTTTACAAGTATATCATCCCCATCAGGGGCTGCTGCTGGAGCCTGTCTTTTGTTGGGGCATTGGCACAACAATAACTGAAGACACCCCTTTCCCTTCTTCACTGTCTCCAGTACTCCCCAGACACGAGTACTGGACTTGGGTCTTACTGCTGCACAGTGGGTCTTTTCCACATTGCTGCCTCCCTCCACATCTCTGAGACGCAGGTTCATTCGTTTTATGTACCCACGCTCATTCCTCCTAAGACAAAGGCAGACCAACATCATTAAACTGGAAGGGCTTTGCTGGACTCGGGAGTGGATGCAGTGCTAGGGGCTGTACTGCTCTGTAAATGTTCTTTTCGCTCCATACGGATTAAAAGACTTCACAAAGTTTGTGATATTTTTTTTTTTTTGCTTAGGTCTGTGGGCAGCACTAAAATGTATCATGTGTTTCTGTGTGATTGCAGGAGTTACCCAGCTTATTGTATTTAAGCAGTTGAGTTTTTTCACTGGTTTGCTGGAAATCACAAGGGATTGATTTTACCCTCTTTCCTGATGATCCACTATTTTTCCTGATGATACACTATTTTTCACCTTTCCCTCCTCCAAATACAGTATCCATCAGTAAACTACTGCCAAACTATATAACCACCAAAATAACTGATCTGTAGCGCACACAGCTCTGATGCCAGCTAAACAAGAGATACTCTACAGAAGTTTTCAGTCAATTCAAACCTGGTTCAGGTTACTAGTCATTAGAACTCATCCCCTTACCTGTTGTCTCTGGAGAGGTTGCAACTGTTCTTTTAATTCTTTTCAATTAAGTGACAGGCCGATGAGTGCATACCTGCAAAGGAGATAAGCAGATGCTTTAGGAAACCACGTGTATGGTTTCTATAGGTGGCAGGCTGTCTGGAGAATCCTTTAATAAAAAGAGAATTAGCTATTCCTCCCTGCACATGGTTTTAGGCAGTGCTGTACTGCTTTAACATTGTTCAGAGCTCACGTAGAGCCATGTACCTGCCAAACTGACAGCTTCTATGGAAGCAAGGACTTCTCTGAATGGTGATGTACAACTCCTTAGTTCTGCTGCTGAACCAATTCTCTATAAATCCCATGTGCTTGTATTTATGTGAGAATATCGGCGCCTTTGCTTAGTATACCAACATGCTTCTAAAACTAAAATGCAAATATTAGAGTATAAAGCTAAATACCTTAGTCACATGCCAACAAAAACAATTAATGACTGATATATTTTGGCTAAATATTTTGATCTCAAGTATCCATCTATAAAAGAGCATCATATCACTTTGGAGTTTTAAACAGTTACAGAAACGCAGCCAGATCCGGACAAAATATGCTTGGTGCTTGGATGAGTAACAGGTTTTTTATGCTTCACTTCCAGAAAGATGACTGCTATGGAAATGTCTGGTGTGGTTATTACATGACAATTAGCAGTTGTTTCTCTGCTGACAGATGCCCACATCAAAAAGCACTGATTGTCTCTTTTGTTTGCAAGGTTAGAGATACAATAATCAAGTAGCTTAGACCATCTCCAAGAGATATTGTCCTTTGCACCAAAAGCGCAGCCTCGTTGCCTACGTTCATGCTGGTGAAAGTCAGATTGTGAAATATTATAGCAGATGATTTATGTGGAAGTTTAAGTCCTTTCTCCCAGTACAGAATTAAAAACTGCCGTTATTTCTGTGGATAGATTACTTATCCAGGATAGATGACCAAGCTGTATTTCAGCATTTTGTTGACTAATTAACTGTTTCAACAATGAAGCAACATGCAGTATGCACACATCACACTGGTGCCATTGCTTATCTGGAGCTGCTAAGAAGCAAGAGAAGGGAAAGAAAGAATTTGCAGAGAAGGGGAGAATGACTTCACATGAACCCATTCTGGTGAACAACGTTCATGGATTCTCTTACTGCACAGCTATGGCACGGAACATGTCTCAAAAGAAAGCTTCTTAAAATGTCACAGACAAAACAGTATTATTCAGATAATTCAGGGGGAAAATGGCTGGTTTACCTTAGTGCTGAAAAGAATTCAAATGCAAACTGTGACCTAAATGAATATTTCTGCCTGTAATCCAGAGGCCTGTCCTCTAGCCTTTCCCTCCTGCGGCCCACTGAAGTTAAAAGGAGTCCTTGCATGAGGGCTTTTTGCCTGAGGTGGGATTGCAGAATGATGTGCTCTGCCTGGCAGTGTGATTTTGAACCATTTGCTAGCAGGCAAAGGTCTGTGGGAGCAGACATGAGACTGGCAGGTGGGATTTGATAGCAGAGATTTTGTGCAGCTGCCAAAAAATCACAACCCAGATGCTGGAGCTGAACACATGCTGCCTGATAGGAATGATGTTCTGGGGAAAAGAGGAAGCTGGCAAGTGTCTGTCAGAGAGAAGAATTTGATTTTGAGTCCAGTGCTGCCTTACCTCGTCCTTCTCCTGGGATGAGACAAGTCACAGCACTGTCTATGTATTACTAACTGGCTGGGCATGGAGATGTACTGCATTTTTTCATTGTGTTGCACCCAAAAAGTACCTCACCAAGTCAGACCCCTCTTTGCTTCTGCAGGAACTTATTTAAATCCCCTACTTACCATCTGCTTTTCCTTCTTTCTTTCTTCTCTGAATGAGCTATCTTCTCCGAGTTCCCTATTCCCCTCACACATGCATTCTGCAAGGTACATTTTTGTTGCTGCTCTGTAGAGACTGTATTCTTCCCAAGACATTGATCTTCCTTTTTTTTCCATCCCTGCTCTTTTGGAGGTCAGTTCCCTCTCTGAAAAGCACCAGCAAAAAGAGAGAGCAAGCATACGTGGATCAAAACACAGAAAAGCACAGCAGCTTGTCCAGCCCCGTCCTTTACCCTTCCACAACCACCCTCATCAATACATAACTAGGACTAGCACAGTGTCCAGGCACTAAGGGCATCCACAGACAAACGGGTGGCTAACGGGCTCCCACACCCTCGTATGATAGATCTGGGCAAAGCTAGAAGCCTGCAAACCAGGCCAAGCACTTCACCCTTTCTGCCCAAAGGAGGAATTTCCTAAAAATACATGTCCTGACATACCACTGAGCCACATGGCACAGTGAGTGCAATCCTATTTTCAGCCTGCTCTGCAGGGTGACATAGCTCGTTACACCTCCTCCCAAAAATGGCACGTCAGCAGCGCAACACTTGCTGGTAGACCATCAGGGCAGCCTCCTGTGGGACGGTGCTCTCCACTGGAATTCCCCGTCAGGCGATCGCACACTCGTCGTGCACAAGGCTGTGATTGCGGGAAGCATCCCCGGTCGTGCCGCGTGTGATCAGGACAGCTGCTGTCCGCCCATCGCTACGGCAGCGGTACTCCACGAGTCCCAGATAGGTGGGTTATGGGCTGCGGAGGAGAAATCGACCAAAACTGAGTCTAATCTGACCCTAGGAGAAGCTCTCCCAATAGATATTATGCCTGCCTGGTACGTACCTTTTGCAGCTCCGCCAAGCAGGACAATGTAAAGCAACGATGTTTGGCCTTTGGGGATGATCGGTAGCCTCCTTCCAAACCATTGCTGGTTAGCAGATTCTGTTTTCCCAACTCTGAGGCTTATTGCAGAATCCCAGGAATGTTCCTGCTCTTCAGATATCCCAAAATAACTGCTCTAAGCTCTCCTTGGGGAAAAACAATCCTTAGAGCAGCCTCTTAACTCAAATTTTTGTGTTGAAGCAGCTGAGCTTGAGGCAGAGAATTTGTCTTTGCCTCTAGTCACTGGCTCCCACAGGATAAATGAGCATTTTGGATGCTCCAATTAATAAGTTTGTGTGTCAGCTCACTCACTGTCCAAGGAATTGCAAACACTTCATTCTCCTCATTTCTGTTTGCTGCAGAAACCCTCCTCCCCCACTGCCATCCTCCCTGCAAATCCACTAGTTATCTGGCAACTTCAGTAGCCCAGCAATCGGAGCAAATCCCTGACTCTGCAGCTGATCACGGCTCCTGAGCACCAGTTGGGAGCTGACAGAGTTGTTTTGCAGGTTTGTTGCCCACTCTCTTCCTCTGCAGTTGCCAAGCTTCCTTCCTCCATCCAGAGGAGACAGTGGAGCCATCACAAACAAGGTGATAAGTGATTCTCTGACACCGAAGTCATCACTTAGACACTATGAGTGGCCGTTTCCTCTCCTGGGGGAACTGCGCATTTCCCTCATCAGCGAGAGGCCGGACCTGCTGGGGTCTTTGGGGTCGCTGGAAGGAGCAAATGTGATCCACTGCAGTACAGAGATTGCAGTCCATTAGCGGGAGAGCTGGTGCTCTGCTTCTCAGAGGTGGATTATCCCAGTTTCCAGGGAATCTGTAGCTCCTGTTTATCTATGCCAATCACTTGCGTTCCTGTGCTGTGGTAAGTTATTCTCCATGTCCCTGAGGTGCTCATTACCACATTATTCAAGCTCTGTTTATGTAACTTTAGAAACCAAAATAAATTCCTAAAAGACAAAACTCCCCAACTCTTTTCTGATCCCTTTTCTAAAGTGTGTATGGCACCTTACAAGAGAAGAACACGATACGTTTCTTAAACCCCTCGAGTTCCTGGGGTGGTTCAGTTGTCTCTGGAGAATAAAACTTGCATCCAGGCATAAAGACATTGTCCTTGGCCTGATCTCTTCCTGCAGCAGATGCCTCTCCACTGAGCTCCAATCTGATCTTCCAGAAGATTACTAGCTTTAGTTGTGGTTTCCCATCCACAGCCTTCACATACCACTGCAGCTTGACGCATCAGTATTGTCCTCATGCTGTGCTTTGCTCTGAGATCAAATTAAAGCCTAGAAATTGTAGAAGTCAAGTTGGTCTATAGATGAACTCATAAATAGTATTTCAGAAAGTGCTCAGGGAACTGTCAGAAGGGACAGAGAGTGGAATGACTATCCCCTTTATACTTCAACCTTCAAACAAGGAAACCAGTTATAATTAGTTTAAATTCTGTGCTATTTAGGCTGCCTGTTATCGCATCAAAGACAGAACAGAGTAGTAGACTATAGTAATATAGAGTATAAAATAGAGTATAGCACAATAAAAGAATATGTTGCCTCATGATACATAAGACACAGCTGCATAAACAGGGGAGTGGGAATTAGAAAGATTTCTAGGTTTCCAGCAGGCTGTCCCAATATACTGAGCTGGCCACAGTCAAGAGAAGGGAGCAGAAGTCCCTTCTTCCCAAACAAAAGGGAAACATGTAAACATCACAGCTCTCCAGTGTCGCTGGAGCTTCTATTTACACTTATGTTATTTGCAGTATTTATCAAAGTCTTGAATTATTTATCTTCTCAACGAGTTTCTTCATTCGCTTTTGAGCATGTAACAGAAAATGCTATCTGTAATTCAGCAAAATCTCTTTCTGCGTGGAGGTTCGCAATTTATGAGAGATCTTATGTTAAGAGATGATAAGGAAACATGCTCCTTGCAGGATCAGAGGCACTGGAGCAGAAGCTGGAGGCACTGGCTGGACCACAGCAGTGTGTTCCTGCCCAGCTCGCTCCGTGTTTCCCAGCAGCTCAGCTGGCTTAGTGCTCAGCTGCAACACTGCGCTCTGAAGCTCCGGCTGGAGCTGTGCAGAGGATGTCATTACTAACGTGCTATCCCAGAGGCTGCCAGTAGTGGAAAAACTAAGCAAATTAAGATTTTTTAAATATCTCAGCTCTCCTTTCAGAAGACATCTGCTGTAATCTACATTGGCATGCTATGTGCTTCTGTCAGCCCTGTCTTTGCTGCGCTACAGCCTTCCTCAGAGAAATGCTAAACATGGCACTTGCTCTGACGATTAGTTCTGTGAGACTGGGGCTCAGCATAGAGACCCTCGGCAGAGCTGAAGCTGTTATCTAGGAGGACCTGCTCACGACTCATATGCTCAGACAGGATTAACACGCATGGGAAATGCATACATCAGCCCAGATTTACCCTGTACAGAGGAAAGAAAATAACACGCATGGGAAATGCATACATCAGCCCCTCCTTTCTTGCAAAGCAGTGCATTAAAAGTTGGGGAAAGATCCAGCATTGGCAGTGGAGGAAACCTAAGCGGCCAGCCGTTCATCAGCCACAGCACACTGTGGGCACTCAGATTAATTGGGTGTCCAAGTTTTAAGCCTGGACATTCCCCAGCTCTCTGCAGCAACATCTTGCTATGTATGACAGAACACAGGCACCTGCTTACTATCAAAATAGAGGGAGAGAGCTGTTTTCTGCCCTGGGGTGATGGGGCTGCTTAACTGCTACCCTAACTTCTTAAAAAAACATTTGCTAGAAGTTAGCATGCACCCTCTGGACGTGAGAGAAGCAAGTTCTCAACCCTCCTCAGCCTGAGAACACTTAAACCCAGAACTTCTGCCTCCCAAAGCATGTCCATTGATCCTGTTCCTGCTCTCTGAATTGTTCCTGGGTAGTGGCAGATTATTCAACGCAAAACGCATCAGCAGCCAATGAAGCATAGCAACCGCTTTCTAGTCAAGTGCTTTGGCCAGCAGGTTACCTGTCACTCTCCAGCATCCTGCATGCATGTTGCACGCCTTTTCTCTCATTGCTGATGTCAGTCAGTCTCGATTCTATGTGTATTTTGAAATACTTTGATATATTTAGGCTGCATCTCACTAATTTCAACAACGCTTTCTGCCAGGGAAGCAAGCACAGTACGTAATAGAATTGGGACCTTAAATTATAAATTATATATCCTAAATGACTGTTTATTATTAGTTTGGGACCTTCTCAGTGCATGTTTTTATACCATGAGCTTGAGTCCTAGTTGAAGCTACTGTGTGCTCTACTGCAACATTGCTATGACAACTGCTAAGACCAAGGCTGGGAGAAATCTTGCCTTCCCTAGGAAAAGAGAGTGTGAAACAAATACTGCATTCAGTTAGGCTTAAACATGTGGTTGAGGCATCCTGTTAGGTCTCCTTGCTTGCTGCTTCGTCTCCATGTAGGTCTCAGCAAAGGAAGAACTATCTAGAGAATATTCAGCATGCAGCAAACAGTTCTGCTTTGAATGAAGCTTAAGTGACGACAATCCAACAAGGCAGAAAAACTCCTCGTTCTCCCTAGGCTTGTATGAGCCTCCCTATGAAGAGATCAGAGCCTCCTGGTTTGAAATGCTGCCTTAGGGTTTGCTTTTTATGTCAATAAATGTTTTATCACGTTTAAGCCTCAAACATGGTACAAACATCCCTGCTAACATTTGATGAACTTAAATAGAGACAGCAAGCCTGGGCAGCGGGCAGTGTGTAGCACAGCACAGTGCTTCCCTTCGGGGGGGGAGCCTGGGCAAGATGGTGCCTTTACAACTATCCACGGCCCTGAGAAGCACATTGGCAAGCTAAGGAAGGGGATGTTCCTCCCTTTGGGTCTTCACTACTTTTGATTTTTATTTTCTTTTGCTTTTTCTTTGCTCCATCCCAAAGCGTACCCATGCACCCATGTCTGTGACGGGCTTAAGATGTCTCTGTCTTCATGCTCAGCTAGTCTGTCTCTCCTGATACCTCCTTGCAATCTCGTTTCTTCTCTTACCTTACGCTCATCTGTAGCACATGAAGATGCTGCAGTGAAGTTTAATCAGCAATCTGCTGCTCAGCTGCCTTTGGTTCCTGCAGTACCTGAGCTGAAATCTCCAGGTTGAACCTACTGGATTGAAACCTGCAGTCAGTGCACAGGTGCTACAAATCATGATGCAAACCCAGGTTTTCGCTTTTCCCAGCACTTGCCAGTGCCCCCCCTCTGGTGCTTTCCTTTGTTTTTCTTTTCCATATGCTGCGTTTTGCAGTGGCCCTGCCTGCCTTCCCTCTCCTTCACCTCCCCTGCTTTATCAATGCAGCACTTCAGCATCACTGACTGACAGGGGATGCAGCAGCTTCAGCAAAGTAGATGGAGAAGGAAGAGAAGGAAAAGCTGCTCTCAACAAAAGAGGCAGCAGAAACACTGAAAGATGAGCTTTCCTCCAGAAGCGGGTCTCAGTCACTCTTTGTTAGAGCAGCAAATTAAGATATGGTCTCTAATTGAGTGTGTTTGGTGAGCAGATCCTGACTGTTCCACCTATTCCTACAGTGTACTGGCAGAGAACAAGGCTCAGATGTGTAGCTCAGGTTTACCACAACCTGGACTGGATCAGCAAAATGGATGATCAGCTACACCACACACTGCCAGCTGCTGGGCGGCTAAAGGACAGACAACAAACCCTCACTTCACTACTCACAGCTTAAAGAAAGATCCTGGTTCCTCAGAAGTGCCAAGGTCATCAATGTAGGGGGAAGGAATCACAGAGCAATTGGCTAGTTACATGTCTGTCTTTATCCTAGGAGACCTAGAATTTCTAGGGTTAATCTTTGCCATTTTCCAAAAGGGCTCTCTGATATTTCATGGTTTATGCAACAGATTTTGCTTACAAGTTATTCTGATTGCTAAATAATTACAGAAGCGTATGTTGCCCTGTAGCAGTGCGGATTTTTCTGTTACATGAGACTGTTATCACCAAGTGCCAAATGCATCTTGAAAGGCTTTTTGTAGGGTTCTGCTGAATAAGCACACTTTTGAACGAGTACTTTTCTGCAGCATGCCCTGATCTTGCCAGCTGCTGATTACCCTCCTACTAACCACTAGTGACATGTCCATATTACAGATTA